CTCAACATCGTCTGCTGGAAGAGGTTTCCATGGCAACCGTCGCGCTACCCGACTTATGTCAGGCCAAGCCTCCCACTGAACGCCTGAGTGAAGATCAGCCAGTCAGGGGTCAGTGGACTAGTGGAACAGGGATGTCAAGGACGGAAATTAACCGGGGATCATGAATGTGTGGACGTTAAAGAGCTTGCAGAGCTCGTTCAAGAAAAGCCTTGTCTTGTTTTAGAGTTTAGCTCCTTAAATAGACTTGCATCTATTTATATGCTCTTACGTCACCAGACAGGTCTCAGCTGAGCTCAGTTCTCAGGGGATTGAGGTATATTGGTGTCAGATGTTTATTCTTAGTCGAAAGGAAGTACTGGGAAATGTCAAGGTGTAACTTGATCTTGAATCAGGTGATTTGGTCGTGCAAATCTTTGCGTGTCATTTAATTCGGTTTATATTATTAATGCTGTGCATGTGACTGTGAGTGCGTATACTCTAATTGGAAATACAAAATGATTTGCTGACCTCTTGTGGATTGTGCTAGTGTTGCAAGAACAAATGTGGATTATTTGACGTGTTATAGGCCTGTAAAATATATACTGTAAATTGAAAATGATTAAAATCATTCAAATAAAAAGCATGCGGAGTTGGAGACAAATATATAAATAAGATTTATTACACTTTTTAAGGGAGCAATGGATTCTTTATTGTACACTGTACACAAATTGAAATGTACTCAACTTGAAATAATTTTTCAAAGTTTTAAATAAAAACAGATTATTGGAGTGCATTTTACAAGAAAATGCTATTTCAGCTTTTTCCATTTCAACATTTCATGTTTAATTCAGTGTTACTTTGCCATTTCTTTGTAACTCTGAAATTTAGTTTTGTTTCTACATCAATTCTGTAATTGTTGTCAATGCTTAATATATTTTAGATTTTTTTTTTTTAACCAACAATCTTTCAAGAAATATCTTAAACGTACGTAACAATCCACAACACATACATAATAGGATTGAATTAGGAACATTGAATGTGGTTTTTAATTACAAACCTGCTTTCTCAGGAACGTAACATCTGAGTTGGTATATTGAGACATCTAAGATGTCATTGCCCCCAGGGCTTTGAATAATTCTGTTCAAACTTCATGTATAGTAAGCAGAGGTGATGGTCCATGAGAACTGCACTTGTGTACATGTCAAAACATTGTCCTGGCTTATTCTGGGAATTCAGAGATGGTTCTCAGATTTTAATGCAAGAGAATTTGTTTCAAAAAACTGTTCGCTGTTCGAAACCTCAAGACAATTAAACATACTCTAAATATTATTAGCTATATAAAATGTGTATTAGGTTATAGATAGAAATTAAGCTGTACAAATTAAGCTTTAGTTTAATAATAAAAGGCAAACAAACAGTTCAAATATTTATTCACACAAACATGTCATGTATATTTACTGTACAGGTACACAAGAACTCACAAGACGACAGAAATTTTACCATCACAAAATGCAAGTAACAGTGTAGGTCAATTAGATATTATCCTTGTCTGGACAACGGCAGTAATCTGTATGATAAACAAATGCAGTCATTCAGTGCCGAGTTGCTACTGGTTCATGACAATAATCAACATTAATTACATTATTTCCCCCTTCCTGGTGTTTCCTCATCTGCTTTAATCAGGATATATGATGCAAAAAAAAAAAACTATTTATACTTCATTCATAAATCTGTCAGACCACAGGAGGAATATTACAGTGTGAAGACTATCAGGCTCACAGTGCTGCATCTCTCACTTACTGACAAGTGTTTAAGTAGTGTTGGCACATAGAGGAATGACGTTACAACGGAGGATGTTATGCTTTTCTAAATTTACAGTGACAGACAGGTCTGTGAGTGCAGACACTGTTTTATTGGAGCCTGAGGTGTTTTTTGAGCAAGATCACAGTGTTTGAGGCAAAAGGACCAACTGAACGAATTGAGGTGAGGTGTTGTAGCTGACATGTGCCAATGCCGCAGGAATGATCTTGCATGTTCCTGAATGCAAGTTGAAGGAAGGGGAAAAAAAGGCATTATCCACCTTATTTATAACATAAGAGTGGAGCACGGCCATTTGTGTCTTGAATGTCTGAGGCTTCCGGAGTCATTTGCTTCCAGACCATTATGCTGCTTGATATCACAAACTGGTAATTCTTATTATATTTTTAGTTAGTGTCGTAATCTTAAACACACTTTTTTGTGGTGCAAATAGTTTTACTGTTTACTGCACTGTTATTCTTCTAGTTTTTTACCTAATGAACCAGAAGTCTCGCACATACATAGAAAATAGCTTACTTCCACATTGCAAAATAAGGTGGATATGCAAGTTCTGTTTGGTTATGACCGAGTGTGAAGAGGTAGTGATGCACATGCTGCGTTCTTTCCATTCATAATCTATGGACGTTCATGAATTCGACTGTGAATATTTGCAGTGTTCGAGTGCACTCTTTACAAAGTCTTAATTCGTTTTGGTGAGCAATTGCTCGGAGAAGAGCTTTTTGAGCTGGGCCACTTCCTCGCCGAGAGAGCTGAGCTGAGATTTGAGCATGCTGTTCTCGGCTTGGTATTGAGATTCGCTTGGGTTCACATTGTGGCTGTAATTCCTGTACTGCTGCTGCTGTGGTGGCATGACTTTTCGGGCGTCTTCTCCGTCTTGTGGTGTCCAGTAACTTGCTCCTTCAGTTGTACCCGAAAGGTTGTGAACCCTAGGGCCCACCGCGGGCAGCACAGGACTTTGTCGGTATCTGGGGTTGTCGCATTCGCCGCCGCCTGGAGACTTAAACCTCAGCTTGTGCGGAAGACTCTTCATACTGTCCACTGACTCCATCCGGTTGGATGACATGGTGAGCTGTCCCGTTGCTAAAACATCAGCTGAGGAGTGATGGGACTCGTAACCCAGTTCATCTGCTTGGTGCGGAGACAACTTTCCATGATCACTTAGTCTGTCCTCAAAGAAGACGGGACTACCAACACTGGACCCACTGGGTGTGGAGAAACCGGAGTCTTCTGACATACTGATCGCATCTCTGATACTTCGGCCAGATTGCGGTCCGCTTTGGGACTGATTTGACGATACTGGACCAGCTTGGTGAGCGCCATCCCCACGTGGAAGGTAGTAATGTGGCGCCGAAGGTTGTGGGACGCAGGTTCCTGTTGTGAGCGGAAGTATGGAAGCGTTCGAGGGATCTTTAATGAGGCCAAAGCGAAATTTCAGTGCAAGCAGTTCCGCTCGTAACCTGGCGTTCTCCTCGAGCAGCGCCAGCACGCGGTTTTCCAGCACCATGTCATTTACACGCCGTTTCTCACGAGAGCGCTTTGCGGCTTCGTTGTTTTTCCTGCGCTTGTCCCAGTAGCCCTCATCCTTCTTCTCGTGAGCAATAAACTCCCGCTTACGCCTCACAGAGGTGACGTTGTCTGAATCTGTGTCTTTGCGTTTAAGCGCCGACGTTCGGCCCAGTAGCGAGCGTGCAAGCAAACTGCTGGACGTCAGGATGGACACAGCTTCATCGGTGAAAGACATTGTGCTACTGGGAGCAGTCGCATTTAACACCCTCATCTCCTGAGATGACTCTTCAAACATCTTGAGGTTGTAGTTTTTTCTTCCTCAGTTGCAATGTTAAAAGTTGTGGTTCGTCTCTGGTGTGTTTGAATGTGATTTTCAGGTCAATCTCAGATGTTATTGACGCAGCAGTGGCTCCACCTGGTGGCAGAAAGAGCACAATGATATCCAGTCAGTTACGTAAGATCAGTCACAACACAATGTTATGTAACTTCATTACCTCCCAGTGGCAAAGCGCAGTACGTT